GATTTTAAGATTGGAAATACCTAGAACTCAAAAACTTACATCTTTTTGGTAAAACTAACACCAAAAATATCTTTAAAACATATTTTTATCCTAAGATCGACTATTCATAAGCCCAAATCTGAGTTCTAAATCATAAGAACCAATTAATTTGCAAATTTAGTTGTAAATTTCAACTACAATTCTAATTCTAATTAGCCTACTTGGAAATCAGCAAGGCTTCTTACAATCAAAGCCTTCATAATCACCATTCTTCAATTTAAACTCTCTTAAGCATGAATTCTTGCCAAATCCAAAACCTAATTGTAAATTGGCCTTGAATTAATACGCTTGTGATTTTTTCCAATTTTTCTTTTTTTCAACTTCAAGTAGTGATTAAAATCACTATGAGAGGAAACTCCACCAAAAAATTTAGCTTGTCTCCATCCTTTTAAGATCATCATTAATTTAAAAATTAGACTTTATATTTTTAATCCAATTAAATTGCAAAATAAAATTTAAGCTTAAAAATCTCAAAATTAATTAAGAAGATAGAGCAATTAGGTTTAAGGGACTTTCTAACCATAGTCAAATTAGAAATTAGCTTTTGGATTGAAAATTAAGATTGTGAATTAATTTAAGATATAATTCCTAAGAATTAGAAGAAAAATTCTATTAAAATTATAATTTTATCACTAAAAAAAATTAAAGAAATTCAAGAAAAAAAAATTATAAACTTTTTTAATTTACTATTTTTTCTTTTGAGTTTTAAAATAGTCAATCAATCTACTAATTAGAAGTATCCATCTAATTAACAACCTAAAGATATGATTAAATTCATAATTAACTAAAAAACTAATTTGGATCTATTAATTAGTCATATTAATATCAAGATTAGTAAAAATATGTTAAAATTTACAAAAAGAATTGTAACTAACCATTGGAGCTTTTAATTATGCTCACAACCGTCTTTGTGACAAGTTAGATTATCATAGGCTTGGACTTTTTCCTATTAGTGAATAAGTCAATCCTATTTCTTATTGATTATGTCTATCGGAGTGTATAAAGATCCACCTCATATTTCATGTATCTCTTCTTGAGTCATATAAGACAATGAATATCTTTAGAGAGAAGTGGATAATAATTAAGAATTTAAGGTGGAAGAAGTCTTAGATTTAAGGGGGCGCCAAAATAGGTTAGAATATCTTGTTCATTGGCATGGATATGATATTAGTGAACGCACATGGAAGCTAGTAAAAAATCTTGCAAATGCAATAAAAAGAGTTGAAGCTTTTCATCAATGACATCCAGTAAAATGAAGATGAAGAATAGCAAATCTTTGCTATAAAAGAAACAAGTTCAAAAGAAAATAACACTCTACCTTCTATTCTTCTTTATAGCTTTTGTGTATTTATGATGGTAAGGATATGGAGAATCAACAATCAATAGATTTTACTCAAGAGCTTTCATTTGTTGACTTACCATACGAGACATTTTTATTGTCACAACCTTTAAGATGATGTAATGAAGATGAAGATCCTCAAGAATGACCTGTCTTTCCTCAAATAAATGGCAAAGTACAACATGTTTGGTATGACGACCTTCAAAGAGAATTCTAATGTTTGGTGATTTTATTGGAGGTATGAATAACTTCTAATAATGATTCAAATGTTTTCTTTGAAAAAAGTTACGATGGCCTCAACAACGATCAAATAACAAGGTGATCTTCTTACTTTGGTATGAGATACTATCAATGGCTGAGATGACCTATCAACTATCTTTAAAGAGAAGAAAGATCAAAATATGTGGCAAATACAATTGATCCGTATATTTGAGCTAAAGAGATATGCAATTATGGAAGATACAAAGAAGGGAGTTATCTTTGATCATATTGTTGCATATGTTAATACTATTGAATTTTAAAAGAGATGTCCACTTTATATACACATCTTCATTTTTTTAGATAGAGAAAGCAAAATTAGATGCACTCAAGATGTAAATCATATAGTTTCTATAAAATTTTCAAATAAAGACAACAACTAAAAGCTATTTGAAGTTATTCTACAATGCATGGTACATGATCCATGTAGAATACAAAATCCTCAAGCGCCTTACATGGTCGTTATAAAAAGAGGTATCTAATCGAGCAAAGAGATTATGAATGAATCAATTTATTTAGATATCATGAATTAATACATCTAGATGTCATTTAAATAAGAATTTGTCATGAATTAATTTCAGATAAAGTTCTAAATATTTTTCATCATGATTATTATACAAAAAAGTTATGATTTTTTTAATATAATTTAATATTTTTTTAATATTTTCAAAATTAATTCCTTGAATATATATATATATATATATATATATATATATATTTGCATATTATCCATGACAAAAACATTGATTTATCTATCCTACTTCATAGCTAAAAGCTCCATTGTGTATTTTATTTTTTTATATGTATTATATTATATTGGTATTTTAAAAATATTCTTTGATTCAAAAAATGCTTCATTTGAGTCACACTTTTTGTAACAACAATATGGATTCACTTATATATATATATATATATATATATATATATACATAATACACATAAGACATTGATTAACACAATAATAATTAAGAATCTATTGTATATTTTAATACTCTTATTATTGAGTAGGTATTGGAAGTCTTTAGCATTAATATATTTATAACTTATTTATCAAAAAAAATTATTTGATGTAAATATAATTAGTTTGAATATTTTTTTACTTAAAAAGTCAAGATATAGGTATTTAGTTGAACACGACAAGAAAGTATTTAGTAATATTTTGTTTAAAGAAAAATTAAAATTATTATTAGGATTATGTGTGTAATACAAATTAGTCAAGAGAAAAATATTTCTTATTACAATAGAACTTGTTCAAGTTTAGAAAGATTAAATGGAAACTATGAACCAAAGTTTAGAAAGTTTAGAAAGTTCTAATCTAGTTCTAACTAAAAAGTTTCTATGTGAACTATTTAGGAAACTAGTTTAAAAAGTTCTAACCAATTCAAAACTATTTTAGAAAGTTTTAACCAATTTAAGACTAGTTTAGAAAGTACTAACTAGTTCACATGGAAACTAGTTTAGAAAGTACTAAGTAAGTCACAAACCAAAATAGCGAATTGCCGATACAACATCCAAAGTCTGTATATATAAGGTGAGCTTTACCCATGGGATCTTCCATTTGCTTCCGTTCCACGTTCGCCCATGACACGGTTCTAAAATTCGCGCATTGTCGCTGCCGTTGTGTTTGTGAGATCCCCTTCTCAAGTGCCTGGCCCAACTGTTCGAGAGGAAGGGAATGAATCCAGATCAGGCGGATTGATTCTTGGCCAGAAGGTAGTTGTTGCACAGGGTAAATGAGACGTAAAGTTAGTTGTGTGTCCTGCTGGTGATTTCGTTGTGAAATTGGTATGTAGATGGTTTGAAGAAGGACCAAGGATTGCGGTGAGGTTATGGGTTGATGGACGTTTCCGGATGTATTTTTTGGTTGGGTGTGTTGGTTTTGGTTGTGTTTTGGTTTGGTTTTCATGTCTTCAGAATTGTCACGGGTAGTTCAAAGCACAGCTGCTTGTTCAGAGTTTGATATCAGTGGAGTTTTCGGTTCCATTTGCACTGAAATTCCAGGCTAATCGACTAGACCTATGACCATTTGTGATAACCGTTTGTGAAGTTTGCATTTAGAACGCACTTGATTTCCAACTTGAGAATGTGCCGGTGCGCAATGCATCACTAATTACTGTAAGTTTTATTGCGCATATCATGCACGCTGATTCGAATGAGAGGAAGATTCGGCAAATCAGCACTGCGACAATTCCTCTGGGGGATTTCCTAGTAGACCGTTGGGAAGAGAGGTTTTACTAAATGGAAGAAACTGATGCCACAATCTATGTAAAGTTGCTGAGGAGGAGGGTTCAAAAGTTGATTGCAGTGGAAAACGCAACACCCGAGGCATCTTCGTCCGAATGGCATGACCTTGCGAAGGGTTTCATCCAAGGCATGAACATCATCAAGTTCACGAGTGATGTCATTGACGTATTCTCACAACAAAACTGACGTTATTTACCTATGATCTTATTATACACCGAGGTGAACCATAACATATATTGTATATATGTTATAAAATTAATATAATTAATATACACCTAGTATTATATATAATAATTATTAATTATATTATAACTGTTAATCTTATTATATTATTAATCATATTATACTATAATTTTATATTATAAAAATATTATATTATAAAATTAGGTAAAAATTCTACTAATTTTTATTATATATCTTAAAATTAAAACTAAGTGATTTATATAGATATAAAAATCAATCAATTGGTGATTAATAGTATATAGATCAATAATTTACATATATATATATATATATATATATATATATGAGTACTAGATTTTTCTATTAATAGGTTTTTAATATTATAATCTATATAGTATATATTATTACAATTATTAATAGATATCATAATTATTATATATTATTATATATATTAGATATGTATAATAATCTATATGGTATATTTTTTAGAAGATTTGATAGATTCTACTCTATATACTTCTACTCTAAAAGTCAACTTATTCAAATTTGAAATAATAGATATATTAAAGTTCTAAATTTTTCAACACTTAATAAATGTAATGAGTATATAAATAAAGATTTATATTTTAAAAAAAATACTTTTATTATTAATCTAGAAGATTTTAGTTTTATTTTAATAAAATCTTGAAAGTTTTTAATAATTATTATAATTAAAAAATATAGTTTTTGAAAGAATCTTAAATAAAGCCATTTATTAAAATTTTATATTAAAAAAAGATATATTTAAGTTTTTTTTTAAACTAATTTAAGGAATTATTATAGTAAAAATATAAAATCGTTTATTTTTTAAAATTAGTTTTTGATGTTTTTTATATTTTTTAATTTTTTTAATAATAATAAGTTTAAATATATAGATTTAGTTTTTCGTCATTTACTTAAATTAATATTTGTTAGTAGTTTTATATTTAAATTAACTAAAATAGTGTATCAACTATTTATTAAAAAAATAATAATAAATAGTATATCAACTATTTATTAAAAACTTTTTTTATTTATTGCTCACATCTTCACATTATTTTAGCCAATCTCCAACATATTTCCAATCAATATGGATGTCAAACCTAGTCATTGGATTAATGGAATTAGGTTGGCTTATATGTCAAAAATGGAGGGGTGGTTGACAATGGGTTGGCTACCTTACTAATGGACTATCTTCACCTAGGCTCTTTACAATGCCACAATAGAAGAATTGTATATAAGTTTGTAGGATTCTATAAATGTGAAGTTCATTTATTTGCAAGAAGATATTAACTTCCATTCATTTATTTTTGTTGCAACTTAGTTTTACAACCCACCACATATCAAAATTAAATTGGCCTATGATTGGAATTAGGTTGGCTTATATGTCAAAAATAGATAAATAAGAATCTTCTACTAAAAATTTAATTAAATTCCATTTTTGGACCAAATTGTATAAAAACAATTAGAATCCTCCTCATTTCTATTTCCCTACATGCAAGTATTTTTATTTTATTTTTACACTTACTGCAAATATACTAAAATGCTTAAGTTATTGGAAATGGATTGTCTACCTTACTACTCTTCCCATTTGAAGAATCATATTTGCCAAATAGCTTGGTTTCTAACAAAATATCTGATTTTGACTTAAAAGCTTATTTCTATGTCAAAATACTCGGCCACTAATTGCTAAGACCCAAAGGTTCACCAAAGTTTGGTCACGCCTTTGACTTAAGCTTTGAACAGTTTATTCCCAGAAGTCAGTGGCTGAGGAATGGTTCGGCTGACAACTTGAGACCACTACTTTGACCATTTCTTATCTCCTGAGACTGATCTTCACGAAGAGGTAACGACGCTGCAACATGATGGCATATGGTTATCGAAAGTTGAGAAACCCAAGTCAACCAACTGCTGACACAGAGTTTCGTGTGCCGATGATGCAGGGGATGAAGAGAAGAAACGATAACAAGGATCAACAACTGGGCAACATGTGGGACGTTGTAGCGTCGTTGGCACACGCTCTCACTGATGCACGAAACCAGTTGGTGGGCCTCATACACTACCAGAGGAAAAAAAACTCAAATGCATTTAGACAGGTTCATGGGAAGGAAAGTGGCATATCTCGTAGCAGTGAGGTGAGAGAATGCATCCCCCGCACCACCAACAGTATATTACGCTTTAGGGGAGGCGGTAATTGTGGCCCATACTACCAAAGTTTCACATCAAGCAACCGGAGAGCAATCGAGCAACATTGCCAGAATGAGCCGAACCATGTTACATTCGAGAACGAGTCGAAGTTCAAAGCTCTCATGCCCAGCCAAGGCAAGCCTGGAGCCAACAAAGAGATCCAAGCCGGGTTAAACGCAAACCCCACGCTCAATTGCTTGCGAATCAACAACAGCAGTAACAAAGGTGGCAATCCTGTGAGCATTAACTTACACCCGAAGCCATGTCCAAGCCCACCTCAGCTCGTCTGCTTCAAGGATGTCAACTGCAGGCCCCCTTCCCCCGATCGCAAGAGGCACTGCAAAGGCACCCAGTATGCGGCGTTGCTGAGGGAGGAAGCTTTCCGGATTCGAGAGCGCAGACTCGCGGAGGAGTATGTACCAAGTTCCAAACCGAAGTGGACACGCTGTTAACAACAGGATTAGCAGTGGCAGTTGTATAACATGGTTCCTTAGAAAGTACACTCGAATTTCGAAAGGATACGACGTGTCCTTGTCGTTATATTTTTCATGAAAGACTGTGATAGCATTGTAATTGACACTCTTTGGGTTCTTGAGAGCAGTGATATAGTATCCCGAAATCAACCATTGAAGAAGCAGCTACAAACTGGCTGCAGCATGCAAAAAGGTATGTGGCTTGAAACTTCAACATTGAGTCCCTTAACTTTATCACAGTAAGTCAGAATTGTGCAGAGAATGTGTCAAGTACCAGGGACCTAAAAATATGCAATATCCACGTCAGGAGATATTAGAATTCACCAAACACTTCCACTACTGCAGAATGTAAGCCTCAATACAGCTTCGGATCATGTCTGTGGTCTGATCTACGAAAGGCTCCCATGACACTTTGTCATCAAAAATTGCATCCCGTCCTTCATTCAATGCAGACACAAGCAATGAAGTCGTTGCTTCATTGGGGCACTGATATACCCACATATTGGATTCAACGCTCTAATGCAGTGACGACTGTATTTATCATCAATTTTTCGAAAACGAAACCTTTTCCAAATCATCAGACTTTCTTGCTGGAATCTCGCAAGACTCCTTGCATTGCTTCAACCTGCAATCAACAATGCTGTTCCAGCATTGTGTGTGCACGTCCTAGTTTCTTGAGTTTAAATCTGGCAATGCCGATGTTCATGGACACCAAATTGAGGGTGAACATTCGTATGAGACTGTGGACTGGATTGAGTAGTGCTGCTGAGGAACGATCCACAAACGATTTCTCGGGACGGGGGACGGGGTGGGGACAGGGGACTGGCAATGAGAACGGGGATGTATTAAAAACCTGGGTCTATTTAACATTCCCCTTAAAATAATCTTACAACGATATTTTTAGATTAAATCAAAAAATATTTTTATTTCTTAACAGTTCCAACTTAATATTGACAATTAATTTTTTGCCACTATTGTGGTTGAAGTAATTTACTTTTAATATCTTCAGAAAAATCTCAATTAAAGAAATATTGGCATATTTCATAATTTGTTTAATGTCTTTTTAATAGATAAGTCTTTAAAAAGATATTGTAATAAAATATTTAAATTGTATATGGTGTTTAGTGAAAAAAAAATTAAATTAAATCAAATCAAATTACCAATAAATCTAAATCAAAAAATGTCTACTAATTGATTTTTTTTTAAAAGTGATTAGACAATCATCTTTAATAATTTTAGACCAAATTCCAAAAATGTAGTTATTATATTACAAGAATCTACACAACATTGTTGAGACAAAAATCACATATATGTTTTTTGATTAACACAAGATTATGATCATATCAATCACAATATGTTTGTAAATTAAGATTTGGGTGAGGATGTACCTCTACAATGTGTGTTGGAATTGGGTACCCAAGAGTGCTTTAGAATCAAAGCCATCACAAGGCAATACAAGAAAAACCCCAAACCTCTTCTTTTAAGAAGAATCTTGGGTTTATTTTTGTTGTTGTCTATTAAGTCTACAAAAAAAATTATTCTAAAATTTAAAAAGCAATCAGAAAATTTGAATACCATAAATAAGTATAGAATTATACAACTTGATATACCAATTATAAAATATTTGTTTTAAAGACTAGTAAATTATTTAATCAGCAAATAAGAGGCCTAGATGAAAAGTCACCTTGATAAAATCATATTGGAAGAAAAAAGTCATATCTTTAGAAATTACCATATATATATATATATATATATATATATATATTTCTTTAATTATATTGCCATAAAGAAAAGAAATCTTAAAGTCCAATTGATCTACTTTAAGATTGTATCGAATAGCTAAAGCAAGTATTAGCCAAAGCATGATGTGATTAAATCACATCTCTTTACACCATTACTCTTTTTTGTCGTTACATTACTTCTCTTTACACCATTTTCATTTTATGCTTCTTCTATTATATCTCTCTACAGCGCCTTCTGTACTATATTTTTATTTTATTTTTGTTTTGTTTTGTTCGTTTGTGGTATATGTTTTTTTGGAGTGTGGTAAATGATTCCATGGTGAATAATAAACAAATCGACGTCCAGCAGGGCTGGTGGTTGGCAAGGAACCCAGTAGATACGTTGAAGCGCGGCACAACTATTGCGCAATTCCAACAAAAGATCCGAAGTCAGCAGGAGGAAAACTTCACCCAGTGACTACCGATTACTACCGTTTCATGTTCGTGATTGCCAGAGTTCTTAACTTCAACCCAATTACGACCCCTCCTGTACCGCGCAAGTTTCCGCAGGACACATCACACACTTTGCATATCAATTGCCTCGTATCAAGAATCAGTTCGCCGAATCGGAAGGCATAGAGATCGGCATGGTCGTCGGTCATTGAAGCATGGGCACAACTGAAGTGATGTTGTTTTATAGTGAGTGAACTGGAGGTGATATTGGTTAGAGCTGTAGCTTAGAATACTTCTGGAGTGTGATGCGAGTTCTTCGAAGTGGCACAAAAGATCAGAAGGGGGTCTGTACCGACAGCAATTTTTGCCCATTATCCGATCATATAGGATAGGTTGGTCGTGTACTATGTTTACACACTCTTATTGTGTTTGGCTGTAGAGGAAAGGTCAAGATTGAGTTTAATTTATAGACGATTCGCTTCTACTTGAGCTTCGATCACGCTGATTTACGAGGTAGAGATATGTCGAATGAAGGTCCTGGAGGAGTTGTCTTTGCTGGTACATCCATCATGAGAATAATTACTGACGAATGATGAAATGCTGAATCAATAGTTGAATCTATGTTTTCATTTTCAGCCAGGTTGGTTTGCTTCAGCGGATATGCAGTTGCCATCTTGGATGTCTAATGCAGGATGGGTTGCATATCTTGACGCACTGGAGCATATGGTTGTTGCAGCAAATTTCACAGATGCAAGTTTATGTGGATCTCAGATTAATGGTTCAGTCACTTCCTTCTTTAGCATATAATTTCCAAATTGAATTTTTCATCAATTACACAACTTGCAGCAGTAGGTAATGGCGGCATTGAACAATTTAATCAGTTTAGTACACATGATAAAGTCTCAAAAACGTTGTGTGGCTTGAGTTACAGGGGCAGACATTACAGTAGCTGATTTCACAAATGCTCTTGCGGACAGTTATCAACTTTACTCGAGGTTTGGCAATCCAACCCATGGTATGCAGCAACTGTGCTAAAGCACATCTAGCTCCAATCTTTTAACTGTAAAAATCATCAGCGTATCTCTTTAACATGTCCAGGTGTTACAAAAGAAAATTGCTCACTCACACTGAAAAAAATAACAAAGAGAAATCGGTTGTACACCAACTCTATATGTATGTGGTTCACTTCTTTAGGAGCTACATCCATGAGAGAAATCTCTAGCTCACAGCTTTATTGATGCCACACCTAGGGTACAATATGCTCCCTCCAAACTCACTCTTGTACTGCAAAGTCTACCCAATCCACAATTCCAAGTCCACTTAGGATTATATCCCATTGGGCCACTCGAATCAAAAATCTTAAACATGATTCTATATATTGGAATTCATATTTCTATATAATAGGTGATTCATATTACAGGATGTACCTTGCACCCCAGCTAAAGAGACTTCCACCTCCATAAACTCTAAATCCCAAATTGCTATATATACACCCATTCCAAGGCAAAGAAGAGAGGATGGAGATATGGAATCCACATCAGGGTAAGGAGAGGAAGGAGGTCTAAGACTTGCACTAGCATAACATTTGGTAAAAATGTAAATTAAATCATTGATTATGTATTTTTACAATTGTTTTTCATTGGATTAGACTTATAAATATATAAAAATATCTTGATAAAGTGACAAGTCTATTTTTTCCAATAAATTCATTATATATTTGTATAGTATATTAAAATAAATATCTTTTAAAGCCAGCATGACATATTCATTCATTACATTATTGATTTTTATTGCAATTGTGTTTTTATCGTCGTTCTTTTTTTCTTCTAACAATTATATTTCACAACTATATAAAATAATAATCAAATAAATTTATATTATATAAAAATAAATAAATAAATTTCATAAAAAAATACAACAAAGATATTTTTCCTATTAAATTTAATGTGGAATGTAATAGTTTTATATTTAATAGATTTTTTTTTGAAATTTAATTCAAAAAAATAGTTATACAAAATGCATTATGAAAATTTCATCAAAGTACACAAAAATTTAATATTTCAACAATATTTGTATAAACTTAAGTATAAATTTGCTCTATGTACCTAAATGCAAAATAATCCAATATAAAGATTGTGCCAATTAGAACCAATACCTCATATGCATTTAATTTTATGCGATGGTAAAATGACTATTCAAATTAAGATTGGTCTAAGCTTATTATCAAAGTCTAATATAAATAAGTAGATTTAAACATTTACACCTAAGAAACTTTTACATAAACATTATAGTGTATCAAAACAACAATACCTTTCAAAAACTAAATGTCCAACTATCTTACACTATAAGCTGTAGGCCCATAATCTATTAAAAAAATACAAGAAGCAATAAAGAAAAAAAATTATATTTATTAAATAAATAAAATAAAAGATATATTTTTTCTTATTTAAGTTAGTTATTTATCCACCATGTAATAATTTTGTAAGTACTTTATAACCACTATGTAACATCAAGATGGTCTTTATTATAATTTAGACTAGAAATTTTATTTCTTTCTAATCATTCTACACTTTACAAGCTTTTGACCAAATCATGTGTTTTTTAACATAAAAAATAATGTTTTATATCATATTATAGATCTAATTATGATTACTTAATTTATAAGATAAATTTTATGCTACTATATAATGTTCGTAACTAATTATTTATAAAATATTAAATAATTCATAATTTATTTATTACTTCTTAAATACATAAATAAAACAACATTATAAGTCATCATGATTTTTTTAATTTAATCTTACACTTGTATCAATATGTAATTATTAGATAATAATCAAAATGTCACAGAGTTTAAAAAATAATTCTAATTACATATTAATACTCACATAACATAAACTGTTACAATGTTCTTAAACTTTACACAATTAAAATCTAATATTTTATTCACTCCAAAGTTTATTTTTTTCTTTTATTGAACATTTTACTTGATAAATGTTTTTCCAAGGTGAGTTTTCCTATCTTCTAAGAAATCATTAAAAAAATTCTTAATATTAATAAATTTTAAGAAATTAAAAATTCATAAAAAAATTATAAATAATTTCCATATCTTTAAAAACGATTCTTAAGAAGTTAATAAATAGGGATTAAAGTATTTAAATTTAAAGAATTTATCGTAAATTTTTAATCTTTTGATTTTTTGAATCAATAAATTTAGTTTCTTTAAAGTTTTTTATTAATATTAATTAGTAAAATAGATTAATTTAAAATATAATTT